TGGTGTTTGGGACTTTATGCTTGTGTTGTTCTGTTTCTTCCCTGAAGCAAATACTCACACATACACACATACATTTGCACACACACATACACACACACTACACACAGGCATGAACTTGTGCACATACAAACACAGCTTTTTTGACGTAAGAGGGTAAATTAGTGTCATCTGTAATTATGATTTTGGTAAATGCTTTAAATATGAATCTTTTACTCCCCAAGCAACAGAATTTAGATAATATTTGGGCTTATCTGATTCAGACCAGTCAGTCAGGGCCAACCTGGGTTTTAAAAAAAATAAATTCAAAGTCCCAGCAAATAGACAGAGACACCCGATAAAAACCACCCCAAATGTGAAGCAAACTCAAGTCCTCTGCATGTGATGCTGAACAACCCAACCGTTACACAACTGACACCAGTATGATATTCATATCAGGATGTGCGTCATGTTGTGGTTGGTGGGTGCTTATCTCTCCTCCTTCTTTTTTGTGTTTGTTACCCTCTTGTAACACCTTTAATCTTCGAAACGAAACTTATATGACCTTATTGTGTTGCAAGTGCCGTATAACACTGTCTAAAGCTAAGGACGTGCGTCATGTTGTGGTGTTTTCTTCTCCTCAGCAAATGTTTGACCTGCTTTATGGTCAAGGGGGACGACTAGACATCAGGAACAGACAGAATTTAAGTCCTCTGACGTTAGCCGCAAAACTGGCAAGGAAAGATGTGAGTGCTTCCCGCTTTAAGATAAATTTTGATTTTATGGGGGTTTTTTGTTTTTATTTATCAGTTTTGTGTCAAACTGTAAGTCTGGGCTGGAATTATATTATGTTCATCTTACTTAAAAAGATTTGTCGATCTACGCATTCTGCCTTTGATGTTCTGGTGATACTGCTTTTTACTTTGTATTGGTAAGAATATATATATATATAATATATGCGCTAAGATTCCATAGGAAATATACTTTAAGGAAGGGATAGGCAGTGGCCAAATGGACCCAGATTGGAGGGATTTTTTTTGCTGTTTGTTTATTTTTAAAAAAATATATATATATATATATATATATATATATATATATATATATATATATATATATATATCAGCACATCCTAGGATTGTTTAAATTCCCATATTGAATCCCTCTTATGTTACCTATCTTTTTCTATGCACAGATGTATGAACACATCCTGGAGATAATCCGCGAGGTGTACTGGCTGTACGGTAACGTGACCTCTGCCGGCTATCCCCTGGATGACATTGACACAATCTCCGACACAGGGGAGATAAACTGTGACTCTGCACTGCACCTTATTGTCTATGGGGTTCGTGACATCTTATTGTATATGTCACTATATTCTAGAGATTGCTTGTGAAAGGAAATTTTGTAAAAGTAAAGCATAGCTCCCTCCCCTCCCTCTACCCTTCTCTCTCCGTCCACTCCCACCCTCTCCTACCCTCTCCCACCAGATTCGTACCAATTCAAATTGCTCGATTTATTTGGTAAACTTTGGGATTTCTATGGTGATCACAGTGGGGTTTCAGCTGTCTTACAAGACCAGACAACAACAAGCTGTACTTGATTGCCTGTGAAAGAAAAACATCAGCTGTTATTCAAAATTTTTGATGCAATGAACAAGGATATATGAAATTTAAACAATATACAATATAAGCAAACTGCTGAACATGGCTAGTTGTCTCTGGCTTGCAGCACATTCAGCATGCTTCAGCATCTACTTATTTCCTGTTTTTCAAGAACATGAAATAACAGGATAATAAGAAATATATGGCCTCTTTAGGAAAAACACTAGCACATTAATGCTCAGGGTGTTCTGAATCGGAGGGTTTTAATAATTCTTGTATCTGAGAGACAATGAAAGAAAAGGTATATTGAATTTTTTGATTGTCAAGTAGATCTTGTAAATGCATGCTACACCTAAAACTGTGATTATGCCCCCCCCCCCCACTTTCTTCCAGCAAGGACAGTTTCTTTTTGTTCTTTTTGTGAATATTACAGTAATTGTTCTACGTTGTCCACAGGAGGATGAGGGTCACCTCAATATGATGGATGGACTGATTGTGACCTTGCTTCAGGAAAAGTGGAAGACATTTGCTCGTGCCAGGTACTGTAGACTCTAATGATAGATGTATTACTGTGTCTGCTCAAAGCAATTTGGCATAAGGCCTGGGACATTTCCCTCTCTCTGGGCAAAAAGAAAAAAATACAAAAAGAAGCAGAATGATGAATTGACATACACTGGAGTTTTCTTTTAAAAGACATTATATTCATTTCTGGACTAAATTGAGTTATCGATTCCACCTAATAGTTCAAACCACAGCGCACATTTCTGTCTCTCTCTGGTATAGATACCTTGATAAATTAGGTAGGGAAACTGATAGTTTAAAACACAGCACACATAATGTCTGTCTTAGTCTGGTTTCGATATCTTGATAAATAAGTCGGGGAAATTGTATTGAAAATATTTGGAACAATTGACTGTTGAGAGTCAAAGGTGGTTTTTTTTTGGCTCTCCCGAACATTTTGCAAAATTGGATATACTGTCTTTTACAATAAAACACCAGTACAGTACTTGAACATGTGGATAACTGGGAAAGTCAGTGATAATATTGTTTTACTGAGAGAAGGAGGGTCCTTGTCCTTCGAACGTCAAATGTGAATTTCATAATATTGAGACTTTAATGCAACTTCTTTTGTGGTGAATTTCTCAAAATCTCTAGCAGTTTCAATAGTTTAATCATTTCTCTCTTATCTGCTACGACTCCCAGATTTTACCGGCGTTTCGCCCTGTTCATCATCTACTTCATTGTGTTCATGGTGGCCTACTCTCTGCGTCCTGGCGTGGACCTATGCGCCTTCATGAACGACACCTCCACTCTAAGCTACTGTGACCAGCAGGGAATTGACCTAGTCAACCGCACAGTCAACCCGTGCTACTTGCTAAAGCCCTATCGGAATGAGGATGTCGTAAGTGTAGTTCTTGTGTTGATATGTGTGTGATTGTGGATTTTTGAGTATTTTATATTCAACCCTTTGAACCCTGACTTCCTGATGCTACCATGCTCCTCTGCCTGAGCTCCTGAGCGATATATTACTAACATTCATGTGGTTGTTAGAATCACATTCCATATCCAATCTCACTCATGGTAGTCCTCATTATTACTAGCATCTAATTTAGAAAAATCTTCAAAATAATCAGTGACGTCTTGTGTAGTAAACAGTGTTTCACTGGTGTGTTTTGTCCCAAGCTGGATGGTTTGGATATTGGGTCTCGCTCACCGCTGTACCGGTGGCTAGGCATATGGTAGGTACCAGAAACTAAATTTTCAAAGTAGCTGTATGCCAAATTTATCTGTTTCATTTGAAAGGCCTATATCCACGAAGCATTTTGGTACCATTCTTTACCCTCTCAGTCAATTTTTTTAAAAATGGTAAGCATTTGAATGCACGCGTGTCAATTTTTTAACCGGCCGACCACGCATTCCAACCGTGAGGGGCTTCGCTTTCCTCGGCAATTCTCCAGCTCCTAATAATCGGATATATAAACAACTTACACCATTGTAACGAGGAAAAGCTGAACTTTTACAAGGTGTACGGCATTTGGTGTTTTATAGCGAAAGAGCAAAGAAACAGCGATCGGAATTACCCTGATTTCACTGATACAACGCTGTCGGAAGGCCGCGAGTGTCCGCGAGGCCGTATTTACGCTACCTACATATGGGCAGTTTTATGGGTGAGGGCTCAAAGGGTTAATCATAATCGTTGAGGCTTGTATCAGATCTGGCACTTGATGTAGAAAAGCTGGTGGTTGATGGGTGCTCTGGTGTGGTTTGCAACTTCTTCCCTATCAAACATCTATAGTCCATATCTCTCCTTCTTATTTTGTGTTTGTTACTCTCTTGTAACACCTCAAATCTTTGGCACTTTTTGACCAAATTGTGTTGCAAGTGCACTAAAACACCTATTAAAACAAAAACAAAGTAGAAAAACAAGTTTATTGACCTGTCTTTTGTCATTCTTGTCCAGTATGCTGTGGTGCAAACAGTACCTTTTACTGGCGCACCAATTAATACGACACCTTGCATGGCTCAGTTATTTAATCATAATGTAATATACAGAACCCCAGCCAATGCAACTTTGTGTATATGGCATGGAGCGTTCATTCATTTTTTTTCAGTTTGGTGTTTAATTCGTGCTAATGTGAAACATTAGTGGAGTTATTAAGAAAACGTGTAATGTTAAGATATCGGATGACAACATTGGCTGTGTACAAACATGTAATAACTTTCCATATGATAAGAATTATTCCCAAAGTACTGTTCATTTGGGGGTTTTTTTGTTGTTGTTTTTTTCAGGGAGGGTTGTTGGGTTTTTTTTGTTTGTGTGGGTTGTTTTTGTTTGTTTTTTGGGGGGGGTTTCTGCAGGATTCTCTAGTCATGGAAGTTATAGTGTTGATACCCCCCACCATCTATATTTTCCTGGCCTAAAAGGAAGTGTACCTTGCAATTACTTCTTGAACAAATTTCAATATGCAAAAGAAAGTTCTACGAACAAAATTAATGTCAAAAGGTCTCAATGCAAGATTCAGTTTGTTAGTGTTTTTAGCGCTTAATCAGTTGCTTGCACTACACTGTATGCTTCCCTGGAAGCTGAGAATGTTTCTTAGTGTTCTATGGTCTTGTGGAGTAATCATATTGTGTGTAAACTGCCTAGAGCTTGCTGTTGAGCAGGGATATGCTCTATCAGCCTACAAATGCTATTTAATTTAATAATAATTATTATTATTATTATTATAATAATTATTGTTATTATTAGTATTATCATTATCATTATTATTAAGATAATTTCTAATCGATGTCTATCTTTGTTATGTCGTCTTTCTGCAGGCTCGTCTAGTCATGGAGGTGATAGTGTTGATATCCGCCATCATCTACATTTTCCTGGCCTTGAAGGAAGTGTACCACCAGGGTTTCAACATTTTCTTCTCCACTCTGGTCAGTTGTGAGGGTTTAAGTAATTAGTGGTCAGAAAAGTAACCTTGGTGGAATTTTTAAAAATTTGTGTTTTTTTTTAAGGAGAAGCACATTTTGTTTGTTTTAGTAGAACTTTTACCGTACTCACAACTGCATAAGGTCATATGAGCGCCAAGGGGTGGATGTTGACAGAGATGTCCTTACAGGGAATCAGACTTAGTCTGCTTTCCTCTCTAGCTTCAACAGCATAAAGTCTGCTTCGACTATCAAGACACCCTGGAAATAGCGGGTCACAAGAGTGTGACAACCACACTAAAGAAGTAGAGGAGAAATGATGATAGTAAGGATTAGGAAAGAAAAAGCTGCTGTTCCCTGTTGCAGTTCAGGCACAGTTATGAGCATGACATTGATGATTCAGCCCATTTACAACAACAGTTCTACTGTGCATAAGAACTCGAGATGTTAATGTCCCACCCTTTGAATGGCCTAAAGACACTTCTTTCAGAAGCACCGCTCCGTGGGGTAGAAGCACATCAACACTATAACAGTCATTTAATGCTGGATTAAAGTATATCAGACAGACAAAAACAATAGAAACAGGACCTACTGATGCTAAAAGAATTACCACATTAATTGTGTTATGCTTCAAAAGTATAATGCTTTTTTGGGCAAATATCTATAGGCAAAAGAAAGTTCTATGAACCAAATTAATGTCGAGAAGGTTTTACTCATTGTTCGATACTTTATAGTTAATATCTATCTTTGTTATGAGGGAAGATTTTTTTTTCGTTTTAATTGCAGAGCTGCAGAACAACAGTACCATGGGCAATGGTTTTTATATTTAAAATTTTTTAAAAACCCACTTGAACTATTTCTTGCGGTGTCAAGATTACAGCATTAGACCATCAAATAAAAAAGAAATCTCTGATTTTTCTTCAATGAAGTTGGTAGTCTAGTGATTAGGTTACTGGACTCGTAATTTCTAGATCCCTGGTTCAGGGATTAGAGGTTCAGCTCAGTCTGATATTAATAATAAATAGCATTTGTATAGGGCATATCCCCCACTCGAACGCAAGCTCTATGCGCTTTACACTATATTATTACCCCAGCAGACCATAAAACACTCAGAAACATTCTCAGCTTCCAGGGAAGCATGCAGTACAAGTAGCTGGTTAAGTGCTCAAACACTAACAAACTGACAAGATCTTTCACTGTCTGTAGCTGGGTACCCATTCCCACCTGCATGGAGTGGGGAAAATTCGTGTAAAGTGCCTTCCCCAAGGACACAACGTCGGGCCCGGGGCTCGAACCACCAAACCTGCAACCTCACGATTACGAGTCCGGTAGCCTAACCACGAGGTCACCGACACCACGTAACCTTTGGAAGTCACTTTACATGAATTTTTCAGTTTGGTTCGGTGCCATTGGAGAGCGACATTAACACTTTGCGGTCACTTGCCGCAGTAATGCGACGGTGTAAATTGTCCATCCCGGTCACTTATGACGCAGTTTTGCGTCAGGCCAGAGAAGTCAGTTACAGTCACTCTCCTAGCTTCGTGATGAGATGGGGCTTTTTATATTGCTGGCTATGTGATCGCAAAGTTGTTAAATTCATAGGTCCTGCTCTTAACTCTTTATCTCCGAGGGGGGTAAACCCACTGCGCCAGGGCCCTTTTTTGGTGCTTAATCTAAAAATGATAAAAACGTCATTAAATGGGTCGTTAAATGGAAACTAGCAAACCTATTTTGATAGTTCTTCATCAAATGAATGAACTTCCAGTAAAAGAGACTTGTTTTCGGCTATTGCCGAAAAGTAATTTGATGTCGAAGTCGTCGTAAAGGAATGTGCCCTACCCGCTGTCAGCGGCTCAACGGCACGGCGGTTCCGACCGCGAGCCACTGAGAGTGGCTTGCCGGAGATAAGGGTTAAATAACCTTGCGGCGTTGCAAGGGAAATGAAATAATATATTCTATTTCAATATATTTTTTTCCGCGTTTTGACTTTAGTTCTCTCTATCCTGACAGACGGGAGCCCCTGCCAAAACACTGTTCCTGCTGTCCTGTGTGTTTGTGATCCTCATGTTGCCAGGCCGGGCGTCTTGTAACCACGAGTTTGAGGACATCATCGGTGTTTTGGCCATTCTCTGCACCTCCCCGTACTTTCTTTTCTTCTGCCGGTGAGTGAGTGATTTAGTTTTAGCCGTTCTCTGCACCTCCTCGTACTTTCTTTTCTTCTATTTATTTCTTCTGCCGCCGAGTGAGAAATTTAGCTCGAATGAAAGCACAATAATTTTTGTTTCTTATTGTTGTATTTCTATTTATACAGATTTTGTTTATTTGTACTTAAACTTTTACAGCACTCATAGCATAATTGCTGTTCTTTTACTTTATCTCTGCCATCCAGAGGATTCCGTATTGTGGGTCCATTTGTGGTGATGATTTACAACATGATCAAGGGTGACCTGCTGCGATTCTTCATCATCTACGCTGTCTTTGTCATCGGCTTTTCACAAGGTCTGTATTCTCTCTGAATTTCGTTATGAACACATTGACTTGCATTTCCTTAGTCATCATCTTGCATTTCATTGTGTTTCTTTTTTTTTTCTGTTTTCACACTTAGTATATGGAAATATTCCATACGTCTGCATTTCTTTATCCTCACATCAACTTTCTTTCATCAAGTATTAAGTATGACACCGATAATAATAATAATAATGATAATAATAACAATAATTATAATAGCTTGTCCGTCATTGTCCGATGATGACCAATGTGTGGCATCAACCGTATTTTTGCGTGTATAAAGTTTGGCGTATTCCTTAGCTGAAAGAGATGAGTGGTCCTTGCTGTTAATTCCATCCATCAGTTTACTTATGATAAGTCAGCTCGTTTGACCAGAGTTGTTACCATTAGGACTAATGTTGGTTTTTTTTATGGAAGTGTCTTACGGCACTTGCAACTCATAAGGGCATATGAGCAAGCGGGGCACATTAAACTTTTTTAGTCGATAGGAAATTTTGAATTTTGCCGGGGTGACGGCCGAAGCCTGCTCTTATCGATTTTAGACCACAAAGGGATCTTTAACATGCGCAACTTGCACACTAGCCCTCCGAGATTTTTCGCCCTTGTCCGAGAAGGCTAGGTGTAGGTCTTTCCTACCAGAAGATCAGGGGTGTGGCGGAAAGACAGCAGTAAGAAGGAGCCAAGAAGTAGCAGTAGAAAAGGCTGCAGAAAGAGTTAGGAGCCCAAACGAGGTGAGGGGGTGGGGGCAGAAAGAGGAGACGAAAGCAGATGACAGAACATTGCTAAAAAACAGGAAAGGATGTGAAAGGAGACAATTTTAGAGAAGAACATTTTTCAGTCACTACCCGGATTCGAATCCGGGACCTTTAAATGAGAGGCCAACACCTTAACCTCTAGGCCACGAGAGCCCCTTCCATTTGGACTAATGTTGTTTTTATTCTTAGTGCATAATGGCACTCACAGACATAACTGGGACCATGACCCCTGTTGTGAACCTGATAATTGCTCACCAGACCAAGCCGTAGTTCGATTCGAGTGGGGTAGGGGGGTGTGCTTTACTTCTTGGTTTTTTGTTCTTTTTTACTGTTTATAGTTACCTGTGGCAAGTATAATAATATCTAACACAAAGAGAAAAACCAAACTGATCAAGAAAACAGACAACAGGGTCGTCATTGTCTGCTCCAGACCTGACACCTGAAGAAGAAGAAGAAGAAATCTCTACTTTATCCCATTTCCAAAGTGGGTACAGACCAGAGAATATATTACGTAACAAGGCTGCATACAAGCCATGATGCTTTGATAAGAATGTCACAAAGCTTCTTTCTTTGCATTTAGTCTTTCTGAAGCTCAAATGTTATTCAAAGTTTGATCGAATAGATATTTATATCTAGATACTGCATGGTAGATAGTGATATTATGTAGCTTAGGAAAAGGAGATCCCTTGCATGGATGATCTATGAAATAGAGAGATAATATTATATTCTCTTGGCTCACTATCATCTCTTCTTTGTCATGTGCATTCATCATTAGAATATCCATTGATGTGACTAGTAGGCTGTTAAACTTATTGAGATCGTGAGCTCTGATTCCCAACTTTGTGAGTGGCTGAAGGGTGTGATTGGTAGGGCCCACTTCTTTACTATCCCTCTGTTGTTTCTGCCTGTCTGTCCCTTTTTTTCCCGGGGCTAGATGACCATTTTTGTGTTAATGGGTTTCCCTTTACTCCAACAAACAAACAAACAATCCCAGTTTCTACTTCATGAGGAAGTAATCAGAAGTGTCTTTTAAAAAGAAACACAAGCTTCTGTTTCAGGGTGATTTACTTTCAACTCTTAATTAAATATCGTCAGCTCTGTCTGGGCTGTTGTTTTCCAGAGAACATTTATGAGAACTTTAATTTATATATAGCCCAGTTTTTATTAGACACAAATTATAGCAAATATTTGAGCACGAATTGTACCAAAACATTCATTTACTCTATAACAATGTTGATACTGAAATGTGGCATGATGCAGTGAAATAGATGCATGTTAAAATCGAGTTATTGTTATCATCTAAATGTTGGTTGATTTGTTTTGCTTTAAGATACCTTTCTGCCTTGAATAGAACTTGAGATATTTGCATTTTAATGGAGATGGGGATTGCCTGGTGTCAGAGGTAAAATTATGGAGCTGATGGCCACCAAAATCTGGTGACTTCCTAAGATTGAGTGTTCTTGGAAACTACAAATTAACTCTTCTTTTTTGTGTTCTTGATCAATGTTTTTCTGTAAAATCTATACTATAATGTGCTTTAAATGGATATAAAAGGTCCTGAGCAAAAAAAAAATTAAATCAAATAAAAAAATTGCCCAGCGGGTGGAAAAATGTCAGTTTATTTTATTTAATTATTTTGACGAGCGCCTGATTTCACCATGATGCCACATAAATCATGTTGAAAGCGTTAAACTGTTGTAAATAACACCAGGTTTATTAGCAATACATATTTTTCTTGTGTATGTATTTAATTCAAAATTAATTTTTACATCTTATTCCATTCAACTTCAGCACTCTCTTTTGTTTGTTTTCTTCTGCTTCAGCTTGATTAATACAGTTCTTTCTTTTCTTCTGCATATACTAATAATATTATAAAAGACCATGGATTCTTTTTTTTTCCTTATCTGCAGCATTTATTAATATAAAAGACTGTAAATGAAGACTGGAAATTGTTCAGCTGTTTTGTGTGGTTCCATTGCTTTGTGTGAGTTGGGATTATAGACTTGTATGTGTACTATTAATAAAAATGATGATTTACCCATTTTTGTGGAGTTTTTCCAGGCGTTTTGGCATTAATTTTGTCGTTTCATTCTTTTGCATTTGTTCTTTTCCCCATCTCAATATGTATGGCATATCCCGCACCATGAAATTGTTTCTACTAATTTTTTTCAATTTTGTCATCTTCTCATTTCTAACAGCTGGATTCGCATTAATTTTATAAAGAATCTGAAGCATCATTTATTATTATGAATATTTATTGAAAGCTACTTTTTTAAAATACCTGATTTTGTTTTATTCGTAATTGGGAGATTCTGGTTTCAGGAGTTTGAGCCTGAGGTGCAACTTTGTGTTCCTGAGAAAGGCATTTTACATGAATGTTCCTCACTTCACCCAAGTGTGAATTAGTACCCAGCTATAAACAGCGAAAGACCTTGTCAGTATATTAGCGTTTTAGTTCCTGTAAAATGGCAGCTTGCACTTCATGCTGCCCAAAAAATTGAAATTATTTCAGAATGCTATCAGGTCTGCTGGGGTAATAATAGATTGTTAAAGTGTAGAGAGCTTGCTGTTGAGCAGAAATTTGCGCTACGCAAATGACATCTGATATTATTAGTATTTGATAACCTACACAACATAAATAATTGTGAAAATGACTTCATTTGGTTTTGATCTGTCGTTATGTATCTTTACTAACAACTTGCATTCATTTCATATTCTGCTTTTCACCACAGAAAGAAGTTTTCTGACTTTTTTTCTTTTTTTGCTTTTTTGCATGAAATTCTTTTTTTTTTTTTAATTCATATAAATTCTACCACACAATCATAATGTTCAGTCAGAAAGGGACGTATTCTTTCCATCCTCCTGTCTGCTACCTATTGTCATGTGCATGCTTTCTTTCTCTCTGTGTGTATTTCAGCTATGCATATCATATTCATGGACCAGAAGGGGAGTGCTTTTGCGGAGCCCATTGAGTCCATAATGGCCATGTTCATTATGTCACTGGGCCAGTTTGGAGACTTTTATGACTCCTATGACAGCACTAACTATGCTGCGTTAGGAAAAGTAGGCAAACCCGTCTTTGTTTGGTACCACCCCCTCTCACAACGTGCACCTTACTAGTTGTCGTTGATGGTTTCGGTGTTCTAATTAGGTGATGTTTTTCTTCACACCCGTGTCGGTCTGACTTGTGAGAAGTCACCTTTTTCTCCTCACGCTGTTCTGTGTTGCGCGTTCAAGAATTTGAGCCCCACCCACATCTGTGACAGGAGTTTGAATGTCTTGATGTTAACAACTAATGCAATATTTTGTGCTGTATCAAGTTCTAAAATGTGTAGACTGCTGAAGTGTTGACATATTTCATGCTGTGTGTATATTAACGTTTTTGAGCACCCCCAAAGTTTTTGTCCTTTGTTCTATCTGTGCATTTACACCAGAACTTCAGTGTTTTGTTTTGTATAAATGTATAATGTATTGAATGTCTTATTCTAGTAGCCGCGTCTTCTCGCAGCGATCTGAGCTGGATGGTTAAAAAGGGTGGGAGAATCACATAGTTACTCTTTTGATATATCAAGAATGAAACTCCCCCCCCCCCCCACAAAAAAAAAACCCATAAAAAAACAGCCTTATACTGGCCAACGAGTCGGAATACATTATATTTTTAAGTTTTACCATGTAGGAAAGCTTCAGTAATATGAAAAGTTGATTACTTCTGTATTCCAGGCTGCAGACACATAAAGATGAAACAGGAAAGTTGCTTTGAGTGGAACTATAAAGAATTCAAATACGGAAATACAGGAGCAGTTGATAGAACTCCTGTTATCTCACAAACTTGTTTAGCCTAATATCACACCATAATGATGTTTCATATCTATTCAAGAATGTCCTAATTAGTGATGTTTATGTCAGAATTGTAATATTTTTTCTTTCTCTCTTTTAATCTGAACTTGCGTCTTTGGTGTTGCTGTTAGGTGCTTGGCCATCTCACATAGAAGACACAAGTTTGATTATCTTGTGGGAAGAATTTTTTATGGAAGGCCTCTGTCTTTCTCCTAGGATACTGTGTCCCTCTCAGCTCGGGTTAGCGTTTACTTGTTGGGTTTAAAGACTGCCTCTTAAATGATCTAAATTGTATCAGCGGAAGGGTAAAATACCTACAGTTAACAATAACATTTATCTTTGTTAAAATCTGAAACCTTTTGACTCTTCGCTCCGTGTGTTTATAAAGATATGTCAGGTACATTTTTGTGGGTAAGATAGTTGAGGTTTCATTGAAATAGCTGCCTGGACTAAACTGTTATTTCTTTCATACTTCTGTCAACTTTAGGGGACCCATAAGAAAGCCTTCTGGTTCATGTTTCTGAGTGTATTCGTGAACTCTGTTTAAAAGTAAAATGTAATGTATCACTTCCTCATATGATGTCACTCACTTTTATTGTCTATAGAACTGTGTGTTAGCAGTGTTGTGAAGTTTGGGACAAGAAAGCTCTTTTCTACTTTTGATACAAGCGATCTGATGTCTTTTTAGAAAGATATTTTCTTTTTGCCGCTATATCTACACAACGATCGTCATTCTTTTTTAAGCTCTTTTTGAGTGTGTCAACGAGCTGTTTAACAACATTACAGACAAAATAGCAGACTGTACATTGGGCATGTCTTTTCCTGTGCTATGCCAGAATATTGTTTTTTGAAGAGTAAAATAAAAGCAGTGATTAATTCTTCGATGATTATATTTCTGATGAAGAGGACAGTTATTTCTTTTGCATTCTTTTTAACAAAGATTTTAAAGCATTATTTCTTTTACTTTTGAACCTCACTGTTCCTTTTCAGAGTATATAATTTTCAGGCAGAGATTGCTTTATAAAAAGCTTGTATATATATATACTTTTTTTTTAGAAAAGCCATTATGATTGAAACTACTTGAGACTCACTAATAGTTTAAAAATGTATTTTGTAAAAATAGTTTGTCGTCTTCATACGAGAATTGTACATTGCCATATATTAGCACACAGCACTGAAACATACTCCATTCATAATGTCAACATAAAAATCATGCAATCAGGCTCCTAACAACCTTTTTTTGTGGTTTTGTCATTGCTTTAGATAATCGAAGGAAGATGGATTCAACTGAGCTTTGTTAATATTAGTTCATCTTTTCTTGTACCATAATGCTTTTTCAGCAACTGAGCTTTGCTAATATTAGTTCATCTTTTCTTGTACCATAATGCTTTTTCAGCAACTGAGCTTTGATAATGTTATTTATCTTTTCTTGAACCATAATGCTTTTTCAGCAACTTAGCTTTGATAATGTTAGTTCATCTTTTCTTGTACCCTTATGCTTTTTCAGCAGCTTACATGTGTTGTAGTCATAGAAGATTGATTGTGATTAATCAACACACTTGTTTTGTGTTTGTACTCACTGTCTGTATAATGTGTAGTAGAAATGAGCAACACTGCCTAGTGTTTGTACTCACTGTCTGTATAATGTGTAGTAGAAATGAGCAACACTGCCTAGGCCTAGAGTTTTCTTCCGTGTTTTCAAGTCTGCGTGTGCGTGTGTTCACCGCTGTCTCTCATGCAAAAATTAGGGGGGGGGGGGACAATATTGCTCCCAAATATGTACTTTTCGTGTATATATTATATGTTATATGCATATTATGTTATAGTATTATGTATTATAATATATCAATGATGGCATATATATATATATATATACATACATATATATATATATATATATATATATATATATATATATATATATATATATATATATATATATATATATATATGTATATATTTATATATATATTAATTATATACATATATATATAATATATGTGTATATATATATATATATATGCTATATGTAATATTTATGTTGTAGACGCTGTGCGCTGCACCTGGGAGAGCCCTCACTGGATGTTCTATTGGATGTTGTTCTGTTTTCCCAGCGTTTTACATAGCTTTTCGCTCCACGGACACAGTGTTTTCCCACTCGGCTGAGGCAGTCTTAGCCGTGTTCTCAATGTCCGTGGGAGACTTTGAGGACCTGTACGGCGTGATAGAAGACCTGGAGGTCCCCTACAATGGCATCATGAAAGTGGGTATTGCTTTGCTGCTGAACGGTGGTCAGTTGTATACAGTTGTAGTGTAGTTGTTGAGAAGGGGTTTTTTAAAATGAAATAGGATTTTTCTTCCTTGTTCTTCCTTGTACTCGATGACAGCAGCTAGACAGTCGGTCCGATGTCGCGCACAAACTGTGCAGTCCGCTTCAAATGTGAGAGACTGCCATAGAGCTTTTTGTATTACAAGTGCCGTAAAACTCTTACTAAAACAAAAACAGCTTTCTCTCAAGAGAAGTCACATTCAGCCACGTCTGTGTACGAGTAGGATGAGGTGTAGAGGAAAGAAGGAAGGAAGGAAGGAAGGGAGAAGAAGTAAAAATCACCCCTCCTCTCCAACTTAGGACTTTAAAAAAAAAATCCTTTAAAGACTATTTAGTAATGTACAATTTATTAATTATTTATTTGATTTTTTTTCCTTTTCTTCTTTTCTTCTATTTTCTTCTCTTTTGGGGGGGGGGGGGGGCATAAAAAGTTAATGCCACTGCTCTAATGGTTGAGTTACACACATGTGCGTCTAAACATTGATGCCCATGATCATAATATTATTATAGTGAGTTGTGTCAGTTGTCTTTTTTGTGGGTGGTTGGCCGTTGCTCTGGTGGGGTTTGCTTCTTCTTTCCTATCAAACATCTATTGACCTTTTCTCCCCTTCTTCTTTTTTATGTTTGTTACTTTCGTGTAACACCTCTAATCTTCTGGCACTCATATAACCTTATGCAGTTGCGAGCGCCGTAAATCCTCTACTAAAACTCTTTCCCATTGTCTTCCCTTTCTTTCCTCTGGGTTTTGTTCCTTCTGAGCGACATTTTAATTCCTTTAGTATGGCTTTGAACTAATACAAAAAGATATCTACAAGAAATAAAGAAAAGAAAGTTCAAAGAAAGTGGGTGGACGGAGGGTGCGACTGGTGTGTCCTGTTTCTTGACTTTCGCTTTGCTGTTTCTATCTGTCTGTCTTTCTTACTTTTTTTTCTCTGGGCTAGTTTGGCTGTTATCATGTCCAACTGCTTCTTTTTTTTTCCTTTGAGCTACCGGTACTTTTCTCAATATACTATTAGAATACTGGTTCCTCAATTGTTATTGCATCATTTTTCTTTTAGGAATTATTGAAGCAATGCATGTGTTCTTATTGCAGTTGTGTTTTAACTAGTTTAGTTTGTTCAGAGGTAGATAAATTTGGTCCTCTTCAGCAGGTAATGTATCAGCAGCCCCTAGTTTTGTTCCCTAGCTGTAAATCCCAAGTTCTCTACATCTTGTTGCTCAGATGTTATTGTGTCCTCAATTGTTTCAGAGAATGTTTTATACCCGGAACGTATGATACTTCCGCAAAGTCATGTTGTGTTTTAGAAAATAGCATTTTAGGTCAAAGGGGAGTCAGTTTTTGTTTTTTTAGCGTGTCTCAATTTATTCAGAATACCCTGCGGTAAACACCCTGTTTACAGTTGTTATGAATAATTCACCTTTCAATCTGGTTGCTCCAGTTTTACAAATGCCTGTTGTCCTTCGTTATATATATGGTCTAGAAAAAAAGTTGCATCTCGGATGTAATATTATTTTTTTCAAAGTCATATATTTGAATAATTCGTTTATACTGCAGTAGCTATCCACATTTAGTGGCAAAATTATTAAAGCTTATGGAAGGACAATTTTCTGAACCAAAAGAGCTGACAGTTGTTCTTTATTTTTCTTTATGTATACTATAATGTTGAAATACTTTGTAAAAGAAATGTATACAAATTTATTGAAATAGAGGTAAATAGTATTTGTCTGAATGTTTATTTAATTGTCAGACAATAAGTATGGTCAGCAAAATAACAATTATTTGAATCAATTTAAAATCTTTAAAATAATTAAAAATCATTAACTTATTTCTAAAACTTGCAGCAACTGTAGGGTTTTTTAAAATTTAAGTTCTATTTATAGCTTTGAGTGTAAACTTGTAGCAAAAGTGTCAGTCGTAATATACAAGTTTGTCGCGCTGTGCTGCACCGTGCTGAGCTGCGCTGCTTGGTAGTTCTATAAAGAAGGGTAGCTCATTCCCCTAAATTGCATCAATGCTGCGCTGCGCTGCATGGCAGATCTGTGGTAGTTCATTCCCCTGAATTGCGTCTTAGCTGCGGCGGTTTCGAGTTTATTTGTAGCAAACCAAAACTGTTCGTTTTATATAGCAAATCACATATTATATGCCTCTCCCTCTGTGATAGTATGGTATTTGTTTGTGTTATTTTAGATGAAAAAAAAATCCCCATGTGTTTATAATGTGTGTTTTTTATGGTTTGGTACCTTCCATAGTTTCATATAAAAGAAGTGAGAAGGTCAGTAACGATGAGTTTGTTGACTTTGTTCACCAATGATCTTGTTACATTTATGGTGTCTTTTGCTGTTGAGAACCTTTTTAGTATCTACACTTTGTTTGTTTTAGGATTGGTCCTTGCCCTTTTCTAGGTTTCTCTCTTGAAACAAATGTATGTAGGATTCGAAAGAGCTGTATTCTCAGAACCTAAAAAAGAATCTCAAAGTAGAATTGGCAAGCAGGGTTCATTGTAGTTACAATGAATTGGTTAAGATATTAACCAAAGAAAAATATTGTAATTTCTTCTGTACCAATTATTTTTCTTCCATTTTGTCAAACTTGGAAATCACAAGTTAACTATCGATGCTCAAGAAATCTCGGAGTATTGCTTAGATGATCAAGGACAATTGTCAGTCTACTAACTTAAATCTTGATAACAAGCCGGCTATTTTTTATTTTTCAAATGAAGTATTTATCTTATAATGATGGCACTTTAAGTGGCTACAAATTCTGACCCCCTTATAGAGTTCCCTTTATCTATTTATTGTTTGTATCGGTTGACAAAGAGAAAAAGCTCTGTTTGAATCTGCAGTGACATTTTGATTCACTGGGTTGAGTACTTTCTGGCACCTGTTTGTGTTGCATGCAAAGTTTTGCTATTAACTTACAATTCAATTATTAAAAGTAGAAAAGCTATTGCTTTTATGTGTCTTCTGTTATGGAGGGAAAGACAATCCTTTTTACTTCACTTGTCAAAGTGTCAGAGTGAACTAGAGAGTATGACATTTTAAAAAAAATCTATTTCTCACAGATACGTTACCATATCATGCTGCTATAAATGAGTTCAATCATCTGCTCTTAAATTATTAAGGACAATAATATCTTTAAGCAAAAGATCTTAACTTTTAATTCATTTTTACTATACATTCACTTACTGAATTGTCTCCCAAGCATACTTATTAATGACCGGGTTCATTGATCAAAATGTGTAATTTCAGTCGGTTAAATTCTTCAATAAAGAAATCAATAATTTAGCTTTAACAAAAATAAATAATTGGATGTATCACAATAAGCTCAAAGAACATCAAAAAGGATTTTTTAAAAGTCATCAAAATGTTTCTTCTCATTTTTTCAACTTCACAGCATGAATTCAAGTTGATATTAATATGTCTGTCTAGAATTTTCTCTCGCTCCTCTCTTCTGCCTTGCTTGATCCTTTCATCTTGAATCATTAAGAAATATAAGAATAGAAATAATTAATTTACTTTTACTTTTAGGAGCAATTATTGTTGTGCCTTGTCAGTTCTTAGGCTGCTTTAAAAAAATTATTTTTCTTCTTTCTTTCTTTCTTTCTTTCTTTTTTTATTGAAAAAAAAAAGTTTTTTTCTCTCTCTTTTAAAAAAAGTATTTGTTTTTTCTTAGGCCATTTTCATGATCTACATGGTGATGGTGACCCTGCTGCTTGTGAATATGCTGATTGCCATGATGGGTCACACCTACGAGCTGGTGTCTAACACACAGAAGGAGTGGTTCAGGCAGGTGAGTTCATACTGGTGTGTGAGGGGGCTCTTGTGGTCTAAAGGTAACAGACTCGTAATCGTGAGTTTGTGGGGCTTAGGGGTTCGTGCCTCAGCTCGGTCAGACATTGCGTCCTTGGCAAAGGCACTTTACAGGAAATTCCCATTTGGCTTGGTCCTTTCGGAGATGGACAGTAAACTTGGAGGTACTGCCTCTTAGATAACCTAATAGTGTTGACAGTAGAGTTAAATAATAATAATCATCATCATCATTGCCTTTCTCACCCTGGGTCAGGATATAGGCCACGAACAAACACTCTCCACCTTTCCCTATCCTGGGCTAGTCGCTTGATGTCACTCCACTCCAGATAATAATAATAATAAAGATCATTTCTATAGTGCTCACTACCTGTGTAAACACAGCTCTAGGCGCTTTACATAATTGTATGTACGAACAATATTCAGGCCCTACCATTTCACCATTTTAATGTCTGAGTCTGTGTGTGTTTGTGCAGTGGGCGAAGATTGTGCTGGTTGTGGAGCAGACGGTGACCACCAAGTGCCGGCGGGAACAGATGCTCAAGTACTCCGTGCCCTACAAGGAGAAGCAGAGGGCGCTCATGATTCGCTGGCACCAGACGGTAAGTTCGTTTACAGGACGGCGTCGCAGTTTAATTTTTGTGTACAGTTCAGCCTCTCTATAACGACATTGTCGGGACCAGAAAAAATGCCGTTATAGAGAGCTGTCATTATAGAGAGGCAACTAAAAATTACTAATGATATATATAAGGAAAAAATCAGGACCTGGGCAGCATGTCGCTATGCAGAGGTTGTAGTTATATCGAAGGTCATTATAGAGAGGCTGCACTTTATCTCATTCAACTTTTGTTCTAGCAGAGCTAATCAAGAATAAATAGGAACAGACCTCAGTTTTTAAAAAGAGGAAAGAAAAAAAGGAAGAATTGCAATCTATAGCAAAAAATAGTTGTAGTAAAATGAGTCCAATCCTGAAAAATAGAAACATCTCAACTACAGTAGAAATAAGGCTTTTAACATACTGTGAACGGTATAACATATTTGGTAGAGCTAATCGGAAATTAATATTTTTGCTGTTTCTCAATATCTAGTGAGCTGTCCTGTTTGGTAGAGCTAATCGGAAATTAATATTTTTGCTGTTTCTCAATGTTTAGGCCTATTCAATTTATTATCTTTTGTCTTTTAAAACATTTTGAAGTTGTAAGTATTGTGGTTAAATTTATAATAATGAGAATTTTTTTTTTTTGCAGAAACCTGTAAAGGTGTAAATTTAGGAATAGTAGTCATATATCGTGATATCCAAGCCAAATTACTGGTTGAGAAGATCTCATGAAATCTTTATTTAGTGGACTGTTAACATTGTAATAAGTCTGGAGCTGTACGTTTAAATACATCTAGGTCAAAATTTGTCTGTGATCACACTGTTTCTGTGTTCTGTCAACTTTCGTTATTTAAATTAATTTATTTTTTGGTCCCTTTTGTTCCCAGCAAAAAGAGAAAGAAGAGTTGGCTCGACTCCGCAAAGAAAACAAAATCGCTCAGAGATCACTGGCAATGCGCAAAAGTATGATGACTATTAAGCCCAACAGTCCCATCTCTCGCGAGCTGGCAGGGATTGGACAAATCAATATCTAATACTACAATTCTTACCAATCTTTTCTTCTTGGTTTTGGAATCCTTTCCTCACTCCCCTGCTCTCAGCTCTCTGTTCCACTAATGCTGTGTGTCCTCTTTTTCTGAAGTGTTGTAGTTTTGTACTTACAACTGTTTATTTATTTGGTTATTTATTATCTATTTATTCCTTCTATATTTTATTTTTTAAAAATAATTTGTTTATTTGTTTCATTTTTTAAATATACATTATTTGCGTTATTGATTTTATGAAAAAGATATTTCATGTACTATGGCATTTTTTATTGTTGATACATTCACAAAATTGGTAGCGGTTTGTATCATAATTCGCTGTACTTTTTTAATTATTTTGAATATGACTTCCTCATGTTAGTAGTGGAGCGCATTGCTTTGTACAGAGGCACATGGCTGCTTTCTTTTATATGTGGTGCTGTTATTTCCTGGAAAGTTGTCTCAAGAAATTAAATTAATTAATATAAGACAATTCTAACCCTTTGAGCCCTGACCCCCAGAGACTACCGTGCCCCTCTGCCTGAGCTCCTGAGTGATATATTACTAGCGTTGATATGATCAACAGAATCACATTCTATATCCCACAGAGGGTAGTCCTCGCCATTACTAGCATCTAATTCTGAAAGATGTTCAAAATAACCAATGTCATCCTGTCTAGAAAATATGTGAGGCAGATGTCCCAGATGTGCCAGTTTGGGATAGGGTCTTGCTCACTGCTGTACCGGTGGCTAGGCATACAAGCAGTTTTTCATGCCACTGGTGTATCAGTGGTAAGGGCTCAAAGGGTTAAGGCCTTTTGTGTCAAAGACTTGCCATCTATGTTGTGGTTTTTTTCCCCCAAGGTTGTCTCATCTTGCCCAACAAAAGTTGTCGTTGTGACGAATTTTCTCAACAACCGGCAAATGTGTTCTCTCATTTGCTCGGCAGCAGTTAAGTCTTCTGAGATATATGTCTATTTCATTTGTGACTGATTTCAACTGGTTCTAAGAACCAAGGTTTAGATAGTGGCATTCCATGCTCTTCATTTGAGGAGAATTTTATATCCTGATGAGGAGGTCTTTTATACAAGTCAGCACTGTCAGTCGTGATTTGACCTTGACATTATTTTAGTTTTGATTTGACCTTAATATTGCTGCTTCTGATTTGTTTGACTTGAAGTTATCGCTTTTGATTTGCCCTTGACATTGTTGCTTTTGATTCAGTCTTGACATTGGTGGTGTTGATTGACCTTTAGATTGTTGAGGCTTGATTGATTTCGCCTGGACATTGTCACTTTTGATGATTTGACCTCTGTACTGAATGGTTTTGTTTATGCCTGTAGAAGTCTTTCAGTTGATGGCATTTACCTGTCTGTACTGAATGATTTTCCTTGATCGTTTTGCTTGAGAAGGTTTTGAATATTTCAGAAATAAACTGATGGGGAATGAGGAAAAAATCACCAGGGGATGAAACAGTCAAAGCTAAATGGTTAGCCAGTAAGAAGAGGAGAAGGAACATTGAAAGGATTTGAGGAGCTATTTTGTCCTCTAACTTCGCCATCCCTTCTGTATTACCATTCTGAAATTATTCCAAGGTTCAGTAGCACTAACTTTTTACCAGCAAGTGAGTTGTTTATAACTGAGCGAGTCGTCTGAACTCTCAGTTGTGTCTTATAACAACAAAGTACCAACCAGTTTTTCTTACCCCAGCCTGACATTATGAAGAATTCTGAATTAATACCTAGCTTTTTTGAAAATGTGTACAAAATGTGTGTTTTAACAACACTTTTCAGAGGAAGCTGCTTTCTTGGCTTTTGTGTATGTTTAGATCCTGTTTTCCTCATACCTACTGCATGATACTGCTGGCTTTTCCATTTCTTTCGCTTAACGTAATATGGCTTCCAATTTGTTCTGCTTTTTAGCTTTGCATTCTTCAGTTTACGAGTTGAGAACTGCATAGTTTGTGGAAATCAGAAATCATTTCTCTTGCAGTCTTACTCACCTCAGCTTCATTGTCAGAAAACAAGTCATAACATGTCCCCAGCAAAAAAGCTTCTGTCCCTTTAATCATCTCATAGAAGTCACTGCTCAAGGCACAATGCTGCAACGATTTTCTTTGCAGTCGCAGTTTTCATCACATAAACTCATTCCTGTTTTCTGAGGTGCACATCTCTTAGCGTTTGACTTCCAGACTTAAAACAAGGGTACAGAAATGCAGAAATATGTTGGGGAAAACAGAGGCCTTCGAAACTTGTGAATATAAATCTTGCTATGCAGAATTTTTTTCAAAAGAAATAAAACACAACAGTTTTTGTGTTTTTCTTAACTCCATAACTCCGAGTCGACAATGGGAGCATCCGGTGAAACTTGCCTGGTCCCTGAGTGGACATCCCCAGCGTCTAGCCAGATCGCAAAGGGCTTTAATCATTACTACTGATACAATCTCTTACGAATCCAAACAGATTTATTTTGACTCAGAAATGTCACAAACAAATCTTGCACATATCAGCGTTCTTCACTTTTATTCTGTATTTGTGAAGGAAAACATTTCGCTGTATTTCTTTTAGGATCCAAAGATACACAGACAGCCCATAAGTGATGTGAGGTCGGCACTGGTGGGCCCTATATATGTCCTTTCCCTCTGCTTTTCCCGTCTGTCTGTCTTACTTTTTCACAACTCAACATGACCTTTATTGAGCTGATGTGTTTCTCCTTTTTCAAACTCAAAGACGGATAATTCATGTGCATCCCAGCTTGTATGCAGACATCCATCTAAGCCTGAGTCAAACCCTTGTTCATCATACCTCTATGTTCTCACCATTAAATTGGATTGTGCTCCGCTTCAACTACTCGTAGTTCACCCTGAAGAGGTCTTTTTGCGTTTTTCTTCCCAGCTTGCATTTGTTCATTCGTTTTGCTTGAGACAACCTGCTCACATGGTTTACTGGCTATCGGTGTGTCCCATCTATGTGAAATATGGCGTCTAGTATTTGAAGCATTATAACACACCCTGCTCCATTATCCCACACTCCCATGCCCACCCCCTGCTTTGGATTTTTGGGGGGTTTTGTTTTGTTTGGTGCTTTTTGGGGGAAGGGGCGTTGCTTTTTTTGGGTTTGTTTTCATCAAAACGAGTCAAACCATTTTTAATAATCAATTAAAAAAAAAAAAAACCCACAGGAATTCTTTTGCAGTTCATGTTAGTTTTATACCAGTTTGTTTGCAGCTTGGCTGATTATCAGCTGCTTTGTGGGTTTTGTTCCGCCATTGCAACTTCTTGTTGTTTACTTTCTTTCGTTCCATATTATTATTATTATTATTATTATTATTATTATATTATTATTATTATTTTTATTTTTATTATTATTATTATTAGCATTGATATTTTTGTTATTATTGTCATGTTATTAGCATTATTTTTATAATTATTTTGATTACTATTATCTTTTTAAAAATATGGATATTTATTAATTATATTATTTGTGTTACCAGTATCATCATCAATATTATGGTTATTATCAGTATATGATTTAACATAATATATTTCTGAGCTAATTCTCGTCTGCCTTCCTTTGACTTTAAATATATATATATATAAATCTCTGTACTATTTACATTTTAATGTTAGAAATGGGATAATCAAAATGATAATTCTTTGGTTACTGGTTGTTTTCATTTTCCCTGCATTTCATCATTTGTCTAACTTTTCACATCACTATTTTATTTCGCATTTTCCTGCAGCCAATCAAAATGAGATCTTTTCTCCCGAAAAGAAGTTCTTAAATTACAGCAAATGATAGGTTTGATATTGATATAATTACAGTTGTTGTTTTTTGAGAGTTTTTTGGGGGGATGGGGTGGGGTTTCATGCCTGAATTCAAAGGTTTCTTGTATATCACGTTTTAAAATACACACACACATATATATATATATATATATATATATATATATATATATATATATATATATATATATATATATATATATATATACATATACATATATATATATATATATGTGTGTGTGTGTGTGTGTGTGGAGAGACATGCAAGATATAATGCATACATACCCTTTACAACATTGACTTGTCAGTGCCATCATTTAGACTGGTTGCATTTTGTAATTCCTGCTCGTTGTTGTCACAAGAGAAATGAGTACCTTTGTGTTTGGCTTTGCGTTGGCACAGGGTGAGTAAAAAGCGTCGGAGATGCTCATACGACCTTATGCAGTTGCGAGGGCCGTAAAACCTCTACTAAAACTAAAACTAAACTCGTTTTTCTCTCGCGGCAACAGCACCGTTTTGCAGTTCATATAACAACAACAGTATATCTTTAGCTATGATGCATTCATTTGCTTTGCTTAACTCCTGTTTCTTCTTATTGACCTTTAATGTTGTTGCTTCCATCTCAGAGCAAACAGTGAGTATGCCTTTTGAATCCCAGGACTGTTCTTTATCGTTATGTCGTGCACTGTTGTTTGTTTGTTTGGGGGTTGGTTTTTTTTCCTTCTTTCTTTCTTTTTTTATCTTTTGTTTCTTTGTGTGTGTAATTCATTGTGCTATCTGCAGGAAAGAAAATGTTTGCAAGAGTCTTTTGAAGGTAAATGTACCTTAGCTTGTTCTTGTTTCAGTGCACTGCAGAATTCTTTCAAAATTTTCCTTTTTATTTTAAAATTCGGAGAAAGATTATTTTTCACTGGAAAAATAGAAGGCAAAAAAGGTAGAGGTAGATCAAGAATAATTTACTAATAGAGATTTGGACAATATAGGTTTTTTTTTTTTTAGAGTTTAGAGTATCCGAATAAAGAAATGGGTGGGGAATCATTTTTGCTGATGTTTGTTTCAGATATGGCACTTGGAAAAAAAAATGCGGTAGATGAATAGACAAGGTCTGGAAAAAAAAAGTGTACAGTCTTGATTTCAACCGCTCTAATGAAAATATTCTTTATACATAATGGTTGACCAAATAGTTTTCTGAATGTGACGGCTGCTTGTGGCCTCACATTATAAAAAGATTAATACTTGAAAGAAAGACAAAACACAGCCGCTCTCTTGCCTACCTGCCGGTGAACTGATTTTTATTGGAGTTTTGTTTACACTTAAGTCTCATGTGAATCCCAAAACGAGACAAAATGTGACATATCAAG